GAAGTTCTTAGCCACTGTTAACTTTTAACAAAAAAGGTAAGCCTAACGGGCTCCCAAATAGAAATGAATTATTAAAATGATTCGGCGTGTCAGCTAGGTTGAGGATCACTGTTATTAAGAGCGTAAAGCTTATCATAGCATCTAAACCTGGACCTGCCGCTTAGCAGAGGTGCAGCTTTTCTCAAGTATGTCGTTCTTTCATTACGTTATATACTAGTCCTTTCGGTTCCTTGTTAAATATAAAGGTTAAATCAGGTCTGATTCGTGTCTTAATTTCTTAAGTCCTAATTCACGACTTTCCTTCTTCAAACTTTATCTCGTTTTTTTCCTTTTACCTAAAGGTTTGACGCTCAAACGCGTATATATCGTACGTATTTTAATATTCATACGCCAACAAGCCTACCTAAGTAATAACAAAAAGGAATCTATCATCTGTCAGACTCATGCCTTTAATTATGAAACATCCGACTAAAGAAATCTATTCATTATTGAATCCCATCCAGTGACAGACGACTTGAACGATCTACCTGCTCATTAAAACTGGTCGAGTTTTTGTTTAATTATGTCGTCAAAAATGAAATTATGGTTTTAAAAAAAAATCACTGAACCGTAATTGAATTGTGTACTTTAACAAAATATGTGCTGTATAAACTTTTAGTGATATCTCTTTGAAGATATTTAAACTGTTGTAAAAGCAAGGCTTGAGAATAGTATGTTCTTTCATCATTAAAAAAAAGGGGCAGGGGGAATAATTGATTTTTGACACCAGTAATTTAGTGGTTTTTTAAAATCAAATTTGACAATAATAATGTCTGAATTAAAAGTTTTGGATAAAAACTTGTGATTAAAGGGGAGATAATTACATGATTATGATGACATGTAACGCCACGCTTTGTGTCACCTACCAGCCATCTTGCCCTCCCTCACCAGCACCCACCCCCCTACTCTAATCAGATTTCCTCTTGAACATATATATCCCACTAGCAATGGGCTATAAATTAGAGTTAAACTCCGAAACCCGGCATTCTTCCGTTTATCGGTGCCGAGTTAGTTGTTGACAACAGAAACAACGGTGTCTTTATAATGTTCGTCAAAGCTGCGTAAGTTTAACTAACGATCGCCCACATCCTGCTAAACACTGACACACGCGCACACACCCACACACTCACACACACACTAACTTACACACACACACACACTAACTTACACACACACACACACTAACACACACGTGTACTACCTGATGTACTCATGACCCTGATAGTTCTGTGATTCAGTCCGTGTTGTCACGCCATTTCAAACACCTCATAGTGCTCACTCCGACTCCAGTTAATGACGCAAAGCAATCACCATTAAACGTTTATGGTATTTATTTATTTATTTATTCATAAAATGTTTACTTAGAAAACACAATATGAAAAAAAAAAATTAATTGAAGTCTAAATATTGCGATTTTATTCTGAAGCATTTTCTTGAAAGTTCCAATAATTTATTGCAAATATCCCATAACCCATGATCAAGCCCGTGTAAAATATCCCATAACCCATGATCAAGCCCGTGTAAAATATTCCATAAGGAGCTCTTCTTTTTTGTTTAAAAGACTTAGTTTGATAAATAAGTGTCTTTTATTTTGTTGTCTTTTGTTGTTGTTGAATTTTTGTGTGTTGTTTTCTTTGTTGGTGGTTTTTTGTTTGTTTTTTTTTACATTACCCTGGGCTCGTTTATTGTATTGAATTTACTATACGGTATAATTTTATTGAGAAGCTCGAGTCTTAACAATTGAAAAGTTACTGGATATGTGTGGATAGTCTTCATAATCGTAAACATATCCGATGGGTTGATGTCGAAATAGTCTAACAAGAAAAAATACGACTGATAGTTGCAAGGAGATGGTTTTATTTCTTGGTGGACATCAGCACGCGCTAACATAAGTTGTTGACATAAACATATCAATGGCTGGGGGGGGGGGGTTAATCTAAGGATGGAAAAGAAAAACAAGTATTTAAGCTAGCCATGGAAAGGACGAATTAGTTGTAAAGCTAGCCATGGAAAGGACGAATTAGTTGTTAAGCTAGCCATGGAAACGACGAATTAGTTGTTAAGCTAGCCATGGAAAGGACGAATTAGTTGTTAAGCTAGCCATGGAAAGGACGAATTAGTTGTTAAGCTAGCCATGGAAAGGACGAATTAATTGTTAAGCTAGCCATGGAAAGGACGAATTAGTTGTTAAGCCAGCAATGGAAAGGACGAATTAGTTGTTAAGCTAGCCATGGAAAGGACGAATTAGTTGTTAAGCTAGCCATGGAAAGGACGAATTAGTAGTTAAGCTAGCCATGGAAAGGACGAATTAGTTGTTAAGCTAGCCATTGAAAGGACGAATTAGTTGTTAAGCTAGCCATTGAAAGGACGAATTAGTAGTTAAGCTAGCCATGGAAACGACGAATTAGTTGTTAAGCTAGCCATGGAAAGGACGAATTAGTTGTTAAGCTAGCCATGGAAAGGACGAATTAGTTGTTAAGCTAGCCATGGAAAGGACGAATTAGTTGTTAAGCTAGCCATGGAAAGGACGAATTAGTTGTTAAGCTAGCCATGGAAAGGACGAATTAGTAGTTAAGCTAGCCATGGAAAGGACGAATTAGTAGTTAAGCTAGCCATGGAAAGGACGAATTAGTAGTTAAGCTAGCCATGGAAACGACGAATTAGTAGTTAAGTTAGCCATGGAAACAACGAATTAGTAGTTAATCTAGCCATGGAAACGACGAATTAGTCGTTAAGCTAGTTATGGAAACGACGAATTAGTAGTTAAGGTGGCCATGGAAATGACGAATTAGTAGTTAAGGTAGTCATGGAAAGGACTGGATAAGAAAAAGTAAACGATCAACAAATATTTTAGTTAACAATGAAAAAAACAAAAAACATTATAGCTAACAATTAAATTTAAAGTGGAAAAAAAAAGTTAACAAATAAATAGTGCGCAAAGACATTTCCCTTTCTCGGTATTTCAATTTGCATTTGATTTCCCCAGCTCGAATTGATCTCCTTGTTTGCTAAAGCACATTCTCTATATAATTACGTACACGCGAGAACACGCCTGCCTTCCACACAAAGCAATCAAATCTGTTCACTCAAGGGCCCCGGTTCCTCTGGTTAAAGAAAATGTTGTGCCAAAGCTACAGGACAATGGGGCTACAAGATAGGCATCAAGACATAAAGACCAGGCTAATGGCCCCATGATGGGATTCTCTGCCCACGGCCCTATTATGCAAGTGAGGGGGAAAAAAAGGGGGGGGGGAATTGGTGGTGTTGTCATGGCTGTAAAATATGTCACCATACAACCTGCTGTTTTCTTCGTGCATGCTGTCACATCTATTGATACACTTAGCGTCACTTTTTCCCCTTAAAGTTTTTAAGATGATACGTTCGTCTTAATCGTCTCAAATGAAAACTACACTATACGCAAACTAATCTAAATCTAAACTATGTACATATATATCTGATAGGTTGGTGAAACAACGTTGTTATATAAGCTTTTCATGTTGACTAAGGCGATCGTGGATATATTTCACGTCCGGTTATTTGTCAGAAGATAGCAGGAAGAAATAAATATGTATTTACTGAATAATCAGCAGTGTGATTTATATCATGTCGTTGGTTCGCTGAACACTACTGAACGTAAACAAAGAAAACACACACAAAAAACAGTCTTTGGGAAACCTCTTTTCATAACAATTCTTGTGTTGCATTTAGCGTGAAGTCAATTGGTTCCGATGGCTAAGTACAGCACTAGCAGTTTAAAAAAAAAATTGATTTTGGTTGGGTTTTGACGACAGCGAGATAGAACTTTGCGCCTGGTATACAAATAGACTTCCAGATGTGCGTATGGGTAAATGACGGGTATCTATTTCTTCGCGTTCATCATTCTTCCAACACACCCACGCCTTGGATAACTCAAAATCGTAAATACGGCTTAGTCTCGCGAGATAATATTATCCTTCATCACCGTTTTGCGATCATCGATTCACGTGGGTTTTTTTTTAAATTCCGTGTGAATAAAATTTCGAAACAACAAATCGTTAAAACGGCTGGCATTCGAGACCATAGTGTGCATGTTATCCAAGGTTTCATTGGCAGCTGTACGATTCTAGTGTGTAAAAGCAGCGTGCCATTGGAAGGGGATGGAAGATTTCCAATATATTTATTTTAAGAATGTTATGTAGGACACTTTTCCCCGTGCGTGAACTTTGCTTGACCCCAAATTAGATTCCTAGCACACACTACTTTCACAGGTGGGCGTGATTTAGTCCTTTTATCTGTTGTGTTTACTGCCGACTACCAATTAAACATGGTTAGTTTGTCTCCTAGTATCTTGTGGAACTTTCTCGATTTGACGAGAAACGTACACAATGTCAAAGGCGTTTCTGGACGCGTCGGTAGACCCACTATATAAATAAGGGGTTTCGGAGATTGGTAGATGTTTTTAACTTCACGAGACAATTGTATTATCCTGTGTGTACTCATATCTGTTTATTCGCATTCATCATTCATCATTATTAATTTGCACATTGTACTAATTGTGTACCGGTACAAGATTTTCCCATACTCTGTAAGTTGGTGATTTATAATTGTATTTCTTTTGTTTTGCTATTGTATTATTACTGAATTAAATCTGATTAATTGTAATTGGCAACTGTTTTGGGTGCAGTATTTTTGTCATTGTATTTCTCTATGGTATCGTCCTTTGTTAGGCACTGTTCGAACGAACCATAAATTTAAAATAGGAGATTAATTTCCCACAATAGAACCAAGTGCGTAACAAAGAATCATAAATAATTATTTGAAATGTCACTCTAAGCATGCACTAATTAACTCGTGTTCTTCTCTAGCGTTTACTCCCCACCTCAGAAACGTTTGTATAAATGACTCTCAAGAGAAATTAATTAAAGTTCTGTCTACCTTGGACTGTATCAACATGCTCAACAGATTGACGGATGTCGGAGGGAGGGAGCGGAACTGCCGCATTTCCTTCAGGCTGTTCCTTCTACTTTCCAGGGTGGACTCCCCACCGTTCGGTTCGTACGTCCTGAAGATGTTCCGTTTCTTCGACCTTGCATAGTCGTGACGTAAGTGTTTCTTGGAATTGGATCTTTGATGACGCGTGGAGTCGAAAAACCCGGAATCGTTACACCGTGTGTCCACTGGAGAGGAGGGGTTGCTGCTGTCGTTACTGTAACAAAAAGAAACAAGAGAGGAGGGGTTGCTGCTGTCGTTACTGTAACAAAGAGAAACAAGGGAGGAGGGGTTGCTGCTGTCGTTACTGTAACAAAGAGAAACAAATGTTAACACATGACACTAGAGAGGAGGGGTTGCTGCTGTCGTTACTGTAACAAAGGGAACAAATGTTAACACATGATACTAGAGAGGAAGGGTTGCTGCTGTCGTTACTGTAACAAAGAGAAACACATGTTAACACATGAAACTAGAGACGAGGGGTTGCTGCTGTCGTTACTGTAACAAAGGGAACAAATGTTAACATATGACACTAGAGAGGAGGGGTTGCTGCTGTCGTTACTGTAACAAAGAGAAACAAATGTTAACACATGAAACAAAAAAACAAATTGAAAATTTTCAGTCGGGATATCCTATCTTAATATTGAATAATCCAGGGGATTCCAGACTCTTAGCACCGAGTTTAAGACCTCAAGCTTTGAAAAATTAAAAACAAACATAAAAAATTAACCAACCCATAAAAACAACGTTTCTCTTATAAATCCGTGACAAAATGTTTTTATTATTTTATTTTTATATTAATAAAGTCACACCCGCTTTTACAATACATATTTTTTTTCCACCAAATATTTCAGAAAAAAACAAAGAAAATAAAAAATTACGCAACAAACGCAATTAAAAAAAAAAGAATCTCAATTTGCGCAGTTATCGGGAGTTTTATTTCATGAAAGTAGTGGCATCATAGTTCCTTTATCTTCCATTGAAAAAAACATGAATAACTTATTGTGGGGGGTATGGGGATGAAAATTTGATAGAATCTATTATCAGCTAAAAGTCTGTGTGTCAAATTTCAGCTTGATAGGTTGACGGGAAGTAGGTCAAATAGCCGCCCGAAGATTTTGCCCTAAACACACAAAAGCGAAGTTGACATTATGCTATGTTTCTTGTCGCATTTTGTTTGCTGAGGAAGGCTCCTAGCCGAAACGTTCACATCTTATTGTCCTGTCTCTTATATTCAAGCTTCCGCATACTTTATTCTACTATTGGATTTAGTAAGGCAATCTGCAGTTGTTGTTTTTTAAAATATGTACCGCTGCACGGCCAGAGATATTCTTTTCTTTTCCAATACTCGCTCCGATGGAGAAATGTTATCACTACGGCTCTGGTTGAAATGATAATTGCTTCAACTATTATCGTTGAAGCTCTGTTTTAAAATCACGACATATTACCTGTGTGATAACGCGCAATGCAAATCTTGTAGAGTTCTGCGGGTCATTACTTTTTACCCATGGTGCAAATTTCAGTGTGTAACGAGTCACACTGTCGGTTCCAACGAGTTCCTTACCCAGTGATTGTTAGATTGACGTCATGATTTTTGCGTTTTTGGGCAGGCTATAACCCCCCCCCCCCCCCCCCCCCGGGCCATAAGATTAAGATCTGTATTACTTTTAAATTGAAAGCAATGAGTTCTCTGTGAGGTGGCACGTGATGAAATAGACATATTTTTTTAGTTGTTCTCCTCTATAGACCATGTTTCAACATAACTAGCACCATTTTCACACTTCCCTATTACACTACCGGAGTGGCTCGCGAGTGTATCTCCTTTATCGATGGGGAAAAAAAGTTATATTTTTTGTAAATAACAATCGAAATCATTTATTTTTGTAGGTGGGATCACTGAGCACAAAATAACTCCGTCCTGTTGAAACATTGCCTAATAGGAACATTGAAAAAAAAATTCAATGTGGAAAGTCATTAGTAAACTAACACTGGAGTACCTTGTTAGTCGGTGCAGTGCACAGGTCGGTCTACCTGTCTCGGTACTATGACATGTCTGGGGGAGACAGGGTTACAAACAGTGAGGTAAAGTGCACGTACTGTGTAATATCAATACAGAGCAAGGTGTTTGTTTACATGTGTAGATATGTGTGTGGCTTTACAGGGTGTCAATAGAAAACTGATAGAAAGTGTAATGCCTTTGCCGACGTGGCTCCCACACTGGCCCTGACCTAGATAAACAAAACTGGGAGAATTATAATAATGATTTTATTTTTACGGTGATCCCAGATCAAGGTCGTCTGCATAAATCGATGTCAACAGCCTGGTCATGCTTTGGTGGACATGGACAGTGTCAACACACTCTCTCTCTCTCTCTCTCTCTCTCTCTCTATGTTGTATCTGTCCATGCGTCAGTCTGTCACCACATTTCCTCTTTCTATCTAACTTTCCTCTTTGAATATGTGATCTATCTATATTCCTTTCTCTGTTCATTCTCTTTTTTTTTTTCTCTCTCTCTCTCCCTCTCTCTCTCTCTCACTCACTCACTCTCTCAGAGCTGGTCAATCTCTGTGTTCACCTCAAACTGCTGGTGACAATTATTTTGTCGATTATCCCACAAGCCCACATAATTTTTAAGTTGACTGTTTTGAAATTCTTACATGTCATTCACTGCAAAGTGTGGCCTGCTTCAACTGATAGCAATGTGATTTTAATGCGATTCCTTATTCTTTTAATGCTGTAAGGGAGCGCCAACATATGAACGAAACTTGACAAGTGCTCCCCCAATCTATATTTGCCACAAGAATCGATATGACGAAGTTACAAGTCCTAGATGTCGCAATAGCAGTTTTGACTCCGCCGCCAACCCTGCGAACACTGTGGTGTCTTACTTTTATCTTAGACATCCACTGCACGAACTTAAATTAATATTTCGCACATGAAGTTCAAATTTAAAAAAAAACTGTATTTATGTTTGAACAATTATGTTGTGTACGCGTCATAAATCCTACATAATGGGTGCAAGTTAATTAAGATTTCACTTAATGATTGATTTAGTTTTTAATCCAAGAACATGAGTATGTGGAGGACAGCAAGAGGAAATTCAGTTTAAAGTTGGTTAAAGGTTAAATATATATTTATCTATTCCATTGATCCATCCATCCATTCATCCATCATCCATCCATCCATCATCCATCCATCCATCATCCATCCATCCATCCATCCATCCATCCATCCATCCATCCATCCATCCATCCATCATCCATCCATCCATCCATCCATCCATCCATCCATCCATCCATCCATCCATCCATCCATCCATCCAAGGTAGGTAGGTAGGTAGGTAGGTAGGTAGGTAGGTAGGTAGGTAGGATCCATCCATCCATCCATCCATCCATCTATCTATCTATCTATCTATCTATCTATCTATCTATCTATCTATTTGTCCATCGGTCCATCCGTCCGTCCGTCCGTCTGTCTTTCTGTCCGTCAGTCTGTCAGTCTGTCTGTCTATCACGTCTATCTCTGTCTCCAATCCTTTTGCTTTTGTAAAATATTCAGTTGGTAAAAAAGTTAACAGAAAATCTCTACGTCAATTCCTACACCACTAGCGGTTGAGACAGATGTCTTACAAAAGGTTTGCCTCTGAGACAATATGACTGTCTATTTGAAACCCGGTGACGATATTTTTGTCATCATTAACAATTTATGTGTAGAGTAGTATCTGTAAAATAAGTACAGACATATCAAAAGTCACCTGACTATGGAAGCAGGCGCCCATTGAATCGTACTCCGAACTGTCACATCGATGGCTTCATTAAACTGAAGTGTCACAACAGCCTGACCTTGACATTTCAACCGTCACTCTCGGGGTTTCCGTGCACTTTGAGGGCACTTCACGCGCGCTGCACAACAACGCTGCCGCCATTTGCAATTCAGAACTCTGCTGCTGAGGTTCACGTGACCGATGGGATCGATGACATCATGAAAGGTCCCATATCATCTGAAAGGTCCCTTGACGAATTATTTCATAACAGCTGAAAGGTGCTTCGGTTGGAACAGTTAACTCAGAGAGTGGTGGCTGCATTAATGTTCAATAAATACCAACCGAAATCGCTGTACAGTGCAGCGCTTCATTTGATGGAATGTGTGTCCGTTCTGTTGTATTGTTTTGTGATTTACTGATTTACATACGCCTTTTGCCCGGTATTTCGCCACGCCTTTTGCCCGGTATTTCGCCACGCCTTTTGCCCGGTATTTCGCCACGCCTTTTGCCCTGTATTTCGCCACGCCTTTTGCCCTGTATTTCGCCACGCCTTTTGCCCTGTATTTCGCCACGCCTTTTGCCCTGTATTTCGCCACGCCTTTTGCCCTGTATTTCGCCACGCCTTTTGCCCTGTATTTCGCCACGCCTTTTGCCCTGTATTTCGCCACGCCTTTTGTTTCGCCCTTATTTTGACGTTTTATGTTCGGGATCTTTCTCAGGCAAATGCTGTTGAAGGTCTGAACTTCCTGCGTAATGCTCTCCTTTGTTTTTTCACGTTTCGGCTCCATGGATTAGGATTGTTCTGACATTTGTGTTGTAATGTCTGACTTTGGTTTGAAGAGCTTACTCATTTGAATCCCATATTATTATTTTTTTTTAAATAGGCTGTTGCAACTGTCATTTAAACAATATATTGTATTTTGAAATGTTTGGTCATACGAGACATTATTCCAATTTTTTTCGGTTTTAATATTTTCTCGAGTGGCTGAAGCATAAACTTTAGGAGGATCGTTGGTGCTGCTTAGTTACATAAACTAGACGCACATTGTAAGTATAAACAAAACACAGGTCAGAGAGCCCTTGAAAACCTCTAAGGATTTGCGCTTGTGCACAATTTAAAATCGAGCATTCAAAATTTTACAAAGGCCTTAAATCGACCCTTGTTACAGTGTTCCCCAAATGGTGGCCAGTGGCCCGGTACCGGTCCGCCCGCCTTTCGTTGCCGGTCCAGCGCAACACGAATATAAATGGTCCAATCAATAAATAAATAGTAATTAATAAATCGGGCACCTGTCCCGGTGATTTGGAGACATGTCCACAGGTCAGCTGAACTCAAAGGTTTGGGGAAACTCATCTCTACTAGTTTGAATAGACTTTTTTGCTTATCAATGGTAATAGAGCACACACTTTGTTAAGTAAATACAAATAGAATTGCTTTACTCGATAAACATATATATTTTATTTATCTTAAAATAACTAAAAACTTACGTTTCTATTCTTTCGAACGGAGTAAGGGCCGTAAACCCACTTGCCGACTCAAAAGGCTCCTTATACTTAAAAGTCATCCCATGTCTTAAACCAATTTTAACCTTATGATAATGTATCACAGTTTTTCCCTTAACTTCATGTCCCCCTAAATGTCGTCAACGCTAGACATCGTGAAACAATGTCAACACAGACGAACGACCAAGCCGCGTTTTAATGGATGGCCCTTGTGTGACGTCATACCTTAGGTTGGACAAAGAGCAATTTCGGATGGGAGCACTGAACTCAGGCAGCTGGTTGAATCCGTGGGCCAGCAGCCATCTGTTGACCAGCGTGACGTCGGCGTGCTTGAGGAAGTAGTCCTGCATGTCGTCCGGGTGTGAGTCCAGCCAATCTTCCACGCCGGAAGCGGTGTTCGGCTCCATTGGTCAGCCTGGCGAGAAAGCCAAAGAAAACCAAAAAAATTATTATTAATTATAAAAACATTGTTGAATCAGTTTTCACTGTCTTCCATTGTGTCGGGTAGTTTTATCATGCGGTCTGGTGCATCGTTCGTTGTACAAGAGATTAATGAGGTTATATGTTTCATCTGTGGATATTAGCTTTCATTGAATTCTTAGTTTGATTTCTGATCCCTACTCGATTAAGTAATGGTTACTTAGTTTTATTGAATGGGGGGGTCAGATCGAATAGCGCCGAAGGTCCCAGTAGGTCATGGCTATTTAATGTTATTGGATGGGGGATGAGATCAAATAGAGACGAAGGTCCCTATAAATGATGGATAGATAGATTTATGAATGCGGGATGAGATCGAATAGCGCTAAAGGTCCCAATAGGTGGCTTACGTTGTAGGGTACCGTGGCAAATTTGGGAGAATTCCCGAAAAATGGAGAGCTAAAATAAAAAAAATTGTCTCGAAAAGAGTTTCCTTAAAAGCATGAATTTAATCGATTTTTTTAATTTTTGTATATTCACCCCAAACCTAATTTACCAACATAATATATGTGACACTAGAGTATTTTAACCTAATCTACCATCATAATACATATAGCAGTAGAGAATTTAAACCTAATCTACCAACATAATGCATATGGCAATAGAGTATTCTAACCTAATCTACCAACATAATGCAAAGAACAGTAGAGTATTTTAAACTAATCTTCCAACATAATACACTTGGCAGTAGAGTACTTTGGCACTTTGGCTATCCCCCCCCCCCCCTTTTTTTTCAAACCTTTTTCAATGAACTTCTGAATTCACAATACCCACACATACACATTCATTGTTGTACGCTTGTAATGCAACGTAAAAATTACCACCTTGTGTGTTTGTGTCTTAGATACGCCTCTGATTTATAGCATAAACGAAGTTCTGAATTTATCGAAACTAAGTAAAGGCCGCAGAAAAGTCAATTACTGAGAAGTGCTGAGGACATGTCATTATAGCCCCAGGCCACCTCAAGTCCTGCATTTTTCTCACAGCAGTGTCACTTAGACGTCTAACAGAAGCTTACAATTTGTTATGAGTAACATGCTTGCAAATTAAACCAGCCTAAAGTAAGTAAGCTATTCATAATTTTTTTTAGAAATAACACGTTGAAAAATGTGGAACAGAACCGCAGAGGGCTCCACTCCCCATTCTCCTCTCTTCCTTTGGCTCGCTAGCCCTCAGCGCCTTCGATTTCAGCCCCCCCCCCCCCCCCCCCCCCCCCCCCACCCCCCCCCCCACCATCACCCGATCAAAGTTCCAGAACGGCACCTTTTCACCTACAAGCTACGCTTCAAGCACACTTTCTGTTTACTAGCGATGATCTTTACATCTGTTAAAGTTACTCGACAAAACGTACCTACAGGTAACGCATTTTATAAGAATCCCAATTAGTGCTAACGTATGGGAATTTTCATTTGTCCACGCCTATTGAACACAGCGCAAAAGCCATACATACCTAAAGAAATGTTATTCGTGATATGCACTGCTTAAGAATGAACGCCAATAATGACACGAAATTAAACAAAATTGTGAACATTTTCTTTCTTTCAAGACCAAAATATTCCCAATGACAAAGAAACAGTATTTGGTAGAACAACATATTCTTAGCTCGCCGCATGGGGCTCTTAAGGCGCATGCGCTAATGGACGTGACCTACTCGACGTGGCCAGAGAGACTGAACAATCTCCGAGCCTTCATAATATTAACTGGCTGAAAGGTTACATTAATGTCTCAAAGTGGACACTTTTATATTTTTAGAGGATCATTAACTTGGTCCTCCAATAAATTGTCACGTCAATCGGATTTGTCGCTCTAATAGCCTGAGGATTTTTTCAAGACTTTGCCATCATATATTATAAATGTTGAAATATCAAAGTATTCATACAAGCTGAAGATTGCGTAATAATGAAAATCTATCAAGATAATATTGCGTAATAATTAAAGTATTTCAAGATAATATTGCGTAATAATGGAAGTATTTCAGGATAATATTGCGTAATAATCAAAGTCTTTCAAGATAATATTTTAATAATTAAAGTCTTTCAAGATAATATGGCGTAATGATTAAAGTATTTCAGGATAATATTGCGTAATAATCAAAGTCTGCATACACACTAATGATTGCACCATACCAAAGTCTTCAGAGTAACTTCGTTGAGAAGTTCATAGAAAGGTTCACTCTGTTGAAGTGAAACGTGGAACGCGGAGCAATGCAGCCTACCTACAGAAGCTGATGTCATCTTGTCACATAAAAGGCATGTTGAAATATTTACTGAGCTCAGCTGAGATTAGGGATAAAGTGGGGGGGGGGCGGAGGGGGGGGGTGTATTACAATTTAAAAGGGGGGGGGGGGGGGGGGGGTGTATTACAATTTAAACATGGTGGCCCGTTGATGTCATGGAGACTGCATTTAATGAAGGAAAAGGGGAAGTGACGTCACAACCAAAGGACAGGGACGAGAAACTAGCCTAGCTCAGCTCAGGAGCAAAAGACGGCGATTGGATTACTATGTGACGTCATATGGAGGGGCTGTCGACGTGAGGACCTGAGGTTTATCGGCGGACCAAAACAGGGGCGGGGTTTAATGGGATGAGTCTTGGGCCGATGACGTGTGTTGTGGGCTGTAAGAGACTGATGACGTCAAGGACACTTGGTCGCTCCTATCTTAAGCATATTTCTTTAGGATGTTGACTTTTTCTGTTTAATTTGTTGAATGTTTCTGTCTAGTTTGTCGCCAGTTTCTGTTTAGTTTGTTGATTGTTTCTGTTTAATTTGTTGACTGTTTCTGTTTAGTTTGGTGACTGTTTAATTTGTTGACTGCTTATGTTTAGTTTGTTGATTGTTTCTGTTTAATTTGTTGACTGTTTCTGTTTAGTTTGGTGACTGTTTCTGTTTAATTTGTTGACTGTTTCAGTTTCGCTTAGTAAATTGACAGTTCATATCTTTTTTAATTGTGTTTTTTTCTTTTTCTTTTTTTTTTTTTAAATTTTGGTTGTTTCTTTTTTTTTTTTTTTTTTTTTTTTTTTTTGTTTTTTTTTTTTTTTTTTTTTTGTTTTTTTTTACTTTTTTTTTTTCTCTTGTTTTTTTTTATCCCTTGTTCATTAGTCTTGTGTCCATTTACATTTATCAATTCCCTTGTTCATTAGTCTTGTGTCCATTTACATTTATCAATTCCCTTGTTCATTAGTCTTGTGTCCATTTACATTTATCAATTCCCTTGTTCATTAGTCTTGTGTCCATTTACATTTATCAATTCCCTTGTTCATTAGTCTTGTGTCCATTTACATTTATCAATTCCCTTGTTCATTAGTCTTGTGTCCATTTACATTTATCAATTCCTTTGTTCATTTGTTTTATGTTTTGTTGGTTCTTTTAATTATTTTTTTTAAAAACATTTATTTATTTAATTTTTTAAAAAATATATTTTCTTTATCGTCTTGTCTGCTAGAATGCTATGTACGCACAAGAGCGATATTTCTGTTTCCTTTTATAGTTCAAGACTGGTTCGAAAGCAAGGGAGTGGGTGAGGACTAAGAAAATATAACCTGAAACTCAGTGCAGATATGTGTTTACGGTACTCACGAACTAAAGCTCCGTGCAGATATGTGTTTACGGTACTCACGAACTTAAGCTCAGTGCAGATATGTGTTCATAGTAAATGCAAGCTAGATTTCAGTGCAGATATGGGCTAACGGTGCATCTGAACTCAAACTAAAGGTGGTTACGCGCTTATAGCATCTTTAAACTTGGCATGCGCTGCAAGTGTTGTGCTTGTTGAGCCCACTAACTTCACTTCGCAAAAGAAACACTCTGCGCGGTTGCACGCCACACTAAAAGTGTGATGACCTCACATACATATGTTCACGATGACATAGGTCGTGACTGTTGAATTTTCATTTGCCTCGGCCCTTCGATCAATGCCCAGCAGGCGATGGCGTCCCGACCTCCGGGCACTCAGACGAAGCTTATTAAAACTCTATTAAACTTTCCCTCCAGGGTTTTTCAAAAATTGATCAAGACCTCTGATTTATGAGTTATGGTTAAGCACAAAGAGGTCGCCAGCGAAGGGCCATAAATAATGCTTCAGACAGCTACCCTTTGTTTACTTTTAAGATGACCCGCCATTTTGGAGCTCACTTTAGGCGTACTTTTATGAACTGGTGAATACTCAAACAAAATATTTTTTTGGCCACTGACTTGCAGAGGGTTTTGGTCACTTTCCAATACGCCAATGGGGTGAAAATAGTTTGTGCTATGAGAGTCGCAGTTTCTTACATTTTAGTTGGAACTCGAAATTATTGTTAGTATTTCTGAATAGTAATAGTTTAATATTTAAATTGTCGAAAGTTTTCGATCAGATTGAGGATATTTTTTAATGGTTGGCGGGGGTGGGGGGAGGGGCAGGGCCTTCAAATTGGCATTTTGAAACTCAGTTATTAAATGTTATGGTAATAAGGGGGGGGGGGGAAGGGAGAGACTGCAATCGGGTTAGGTAAAAGGAAATGAGCGAAACAAAGAATGTTAAACCTAAAAGAAAAGAGAGGGGGGGGGGGATTTGAGCAAACAAAACACAAAACAGCCAACGTGTCGCCAAAAAATACTTCTTAAGCGAACAAACTGTAAAAACAAAATTAAATAAAAATGATAACAACAGCTAGACGCAATATAGTATACGAGAGGACACCAAGATGACAGTAATAGGACAGCAAGAGGGACGTAAATTGCAGCTAGTGTTATTTTTATTGTATTTGTGTGTGTCTGTGTTATTCCCAGGTTTTGGCCTACTCCGTTTTGCT